CAATTTATAATCAGTTACAAGAACGTCGAATCTGAATCACTTGAAAAAAACACGGGGGTGCTTAACTTTTTTCCAGGTGTATATAAAGTATAAAGATTCTTGTAAAGCCAATATTTACTGAGAACTATGAGAAAAACCAACAGAAAATTTTCTTTAAGGATTGCATATATCTCAGAGGACAGATGTCAAAAGTATCAGATTCAAAACTTACTTGCAAGAGTAAGATAGCAAAATGCTCAATGTGTTATCAGTGCAACAAATGTGGATGCAATTATGACAGGATACCAGATGCAGAGAAAGAAAGCCATAAAAGATGCCAGAGAAGAATTTCCACTAGTGCTAATAAACATGCCAAATGAATGAATCAAAGCAAGCCTACTTGCAGACCAGGTAGGCTTACAGAATCGTCCTCAGATGTCGACAACCAAGGACAGAGCAGGAGTTTGTTTTGCTTCATGAAAATTAGAAAGCTGCACAATGAGTTATCTGTATTCTGACAATTGTGGGTATTAAAACCAGATTTTTTAGCATTGTACACCCTCAAACTCATCAGACTTACTACTGAGCAGGCAGGGTGCTAGAGCAGTTAAAGTGGTTAATGTTGGGGAGATTAAAAACCACTATGACAACTATAATTTATAGAATACGCCACAGCAAAAAGATTCCTGAGATTAAGCCCTACAATTTTTCCAGATTTCAGTATCTTATGTGAACCATATTTCGTTACCAAAATCACACAACTGATTAGGGTGACTCAGATATTTGTTCTTTAATAACAATATTGATGTTTGAAAATTGTGACCTTTCTCTCAATCAGATCTCACCCACAGAGTAAATGTCAAATTTCCTTCTCAAGTCTTAATTTTTTTCAACCAGATTGACCAAGTTCGCTGTTTGAAAACTTCTTTATATTTTCTCACCCACAGAATAACTGTCAAACTGCAGTGTTTCCTTTTCCCACACCTCCAAGGTTTTATTATATAATTCTCAAAATAAATTGAAATACCAAAAAATCATGGATTATGTTATAATAGGCTTAACAAACTTAAACAAACCATGATACACTAACTTGCTGATTATCTTGCAACCAGATTCCTAAGGTCATACAAACCTGATGCATATTGAGAAAAGTTGACAAAACTGAGAAAATTATATATATACACACACACACTATTAATACACTAAATCTATAATTCTTTCTGACCTTTATGTTTTTGGTTGCTTCAAAGCCATCAAGTTGATTCAAAAGTTCCAACATTGTTCTCTGAACCTCGCTGTCTCCACCTGATCCAGCCTCAATTCTTGATGATCCAATAGAGTCAATTTCATCCATGAAGATTATAGATGGAGCATGCTCCCTGAAAGAGTGTCAAGAGTGTGATTTTCCTCAAATAAAAACAATCCATCAAGTATACAAATCTACAATGTCCATGAAGATTATAATAGTACATACTTCCTGAATGAGAAATCCATCACATATAAAACTCTACATCTATGGATGTTACAATCTAAAGAGGAAAATCCATCATATACACAAGTCTACATCATGAAGAAAATTATGGATGGGACATACTCCCTGAAACAAAAACCTAATACTTCAAACCCTAGATAAGACTTATATTAAGAATTACATGTATCACTGGTATAGCTTTATAAAAATAAGTAAGTATTTGGTAATATTTGTTGATAGGGGAAAGTCCACCAGAATAAGAGAGAAACATATATTCATTTTTATGCTTATTCAAATTTAATATTCAGAAAGTGGTAACTTTGTTAACAAATACATAAGAATTTTTAACCAGTATGGAAAAATTTACAGTGATTAAGCTATTTAAACCTAAAGAAAGGAATACAAGTACAATTTAAGATTGCTGGAACTAATGTTTTTTCCATCTCACATATTTGACAATCTGCCACTTCAAACTTAAAGTATAACAACTATTAGATGTTTTAGTACTTAAATTAAATTTTCTTTAATAAATTTATATAGAACGTATAAGAAATGAAATAGCTAAATAGTATAAGAAATGTACATAGCTAAATAGTATCCCATTATGTGATACGTAGCCACTGACTTGACAGACCTTTAACACATGCCTCTTCTGCAGACCAAACACATTCTGTAACTCTAGCTTAATCAGTATTTTCCTTATTCTTATGCGATCATAGTAACTTTACAAGTTAGGCATATTATTACATCTTTTGATTGTCATTTCTTCTTTATCTAGTTACAAAACTAAAAGATAGAAAATATCAATTATTTTAACACCCCACACTGTTCAAAAAATAGTTTACATACAATAACTTAAATTGTAAAACTAATACAAATGAATAGCACGTGTTTTATTTATAAAATACTCCTCCGTTTCTTTTTGAAGTAACAAAATGTTAATTTTAAAATGTTCCAAGCTCATCTGACATCATTAATCTTAAGAAATGACATTCCCACTCTCCTCCAAACCTTCTACACCAAATTGTCATGAAAGGTTTCACAAACAGAAGACTCACCACAGTGCTAATTACTCAATACAAGAAACAAGTAACTAGGAGACACAACTTGACTGCTACCTCAATGCAAGATACAAGATGAGTGAAACACAACTACAACTGAATTAAAGAAACAAATAATTAGAACTAGTTACAACTGCTACCTCAATGTAAGCTACATAGTGTGAATCCAACTACAACTGGATTAAAGATATAAATAATTACAAAAACCAATATAACTGTAACCTCAATGCAGAATACATGATATTTGAAACTCAACAACAACTGGATTAACTCTTTCAACACGAGCTCAGTCAATTTGAATGACCATGTGACCTCTTTGTGCTCAATTAAAGTCTTTGTAGATTTAATACTTCAAACTTTCAATATAGTGTGTCTTTCTTCACAAAATTTTGCAGTCTTTTATATACAAAAAATCATATTTTTTTGTGAAATATTTTTAATAAAATAAAATAAAGATTTGTCCATGAATATATTAAGTAGTGGTTTTGAATAGTCCATGTGCAAAGTAATTTTCATGTTAAAATTAAAAATACTTTTCTCATCTCAAAAATCTCAAATTTCCTTTGTTTAATCCCTAAAACCTCCTAAATGCATCTCAAACATTTTTTTTTTCAGTAAAACATTTTAGTTTATCTGTTATGTTCTCTAGTAGGGTCGATCGACCCACCTAGTAACCACCAAAAAAAAAAAAAAAA